ATATATCTCACAAATTCTGACATTATTTCTCGGAGTTCCGAGTATGAATAATCAGTCTGAATTGTGAGATAAAAAGTTTTTTATACAAGCTCCAATACTTCTATATATATTTTCTATATTATATACAACCATATTAAATTTAAATGTTATCTAAAAATTTTTTATTTTGTATTAAATATGTATTTGTAGACACAATTAAATTAAAATATAATCTATAATTAAAATATAATTGTATTAATATTAAAATATTAATATTTTAAGATAAATGCTAATATTCAAAATATAAAATGTGAATTATAATGTATTACATTTGAAATTAATTCAAAAGTATTTGTATGACACTTTTCATAATGAAAGATAATCATACATAAAACCTGAAAAACAGAAAAAGAAAAAGGCATAACTGCTCATGCATAAACAAAAAAATTGTCCACGGACCCCATTTGGTCCCCCTGGTGATCCAAAGACCCTAGTCTGAAAACCATATTTATCTCACTGGATCTTTGTTTATATTCCCAGCATTAAAAATAAGTGACCAAAACAACACACCTGTGAGGATGGGGGTCTAACTACAGCAGAGGCATTGGCACTAGCTGGGTTTGGCAGCATTCCTTGAGCCTGTGCCTGGGCCAGAGCCTGCTGAGAGACCAACATCAACTGGCTGCTGTCACTACGGATTAACAGCATTCCTTCAGAGGCAGGGGAGAGAGAGTAAGACATCGCCAAGACTGATAAGTAGGCTTGATTGTTAAGTAGAATATTACAGTTTGAATACACTAACAGACCAATAAATGAAAAAGTGGATCCTGAATCCACCCGTAAAACTCACCTTGTGGGACCTGGAAGTTGGCAGGCAGCTGCAGTGGCATGGTCAGGGGTGTGCGTGTCATTGGTACACTTTGTGATGGGGTGGAAATCCTTGGCAATGTCACGACTGCCCCTTTGGCCGTGGTCAGTGTGGTGACCCTGGGCTGGCTTATGGCCACGGAGCTTACAGAGACCCTTCCAGGCTGAGGAACCAGTGCCAAACTGGTGGCCCCTGCTCCCCGAACATTAGACGTCACCACCCTGGCTCCTACGAGCACTGGTGTGGTGGATCTGATCTGTGCAGGGCCTGCTATGATCTTTGGAGCAGGTTCAGATGAGGCTGAACTGGAGCTCATGACTGTTACAGGATGCTGACTAGCAGAGTTGGATGAATCAGCCTCTGCCTTCGGTTTTGGCTGTTCTCCTTCCCCATTAGGGGAAGCTAAATCTGGTTTGCTGTTTTCAGAGGTGTTAACATTAGCGTTCGAGTCTGACGTTTCTCTTTTCTTGTCTAATGAAGTGTCCACGGGATCCTCAGTGTTGCTTGTTTGCGCGTCGTTGTTGTTTTCTCCGTTCTCTGTTGGCGCACGAGACTGATCACTGTCTAATTTATCTGAACCCGATGTTTCTGATATTATTTAGTCTACTTTCTCGATGTATTAAACACAGATTGAATAATTTGGTAGAGAGGATAACCTTGACATGTTTTTCCATCTATTTGGTAGAATAATCAAATTTATATGTACAAATACGCGGGCGACACGACGGATATATGTACAGCTTTAGTCAGCAGTCGGAGGTGGAGATTTTGATTCACCTGAAGGATTCAAATCATTTGAATTCATCCAAACTATTCATGATTCTTCGGTTCTTTCATTGAGTGTTTCTGTACGCTACACAGTTATGCCAGTAGGTGGAGACAAGCGAATGTCTTTTTTTGTGTGTGAGTGAGTCAGTGAATCACTCAACTGATTCGCTAAAAGCACCGAGTCATTCAAGCGTTTGTTAATGAGATGCTTCGTTCAGTGCAGTTCCGAATCTTGTTTAGATTCAAACATCTTAATTGGCCCCTTCAGTCAAGGGCGTATTTCTTCAGTAAGATCCAACCAATGAAATGCTGACTTGAATGCCTCTTGGTTTTTATACAGCCATGTTGCATCCCAATGTGTCTACTTATAAAGTACACCTCTAAATTATGTACTCTTTTGGTGAAGAAAAAGTACATACTTTTGAGTGTGTTAGTAGAAGAGTAGGCAAGCTTTGGGACATCCTATCACGTCACACAATTGTCTTTAAAGTCAGCATGAAACGGAAGTAGCCATTGTCTTTGTCTTTACTGTGACGTCTATCCGAGTGAAACGGCATCTGAAATAAGAGGGCGGGACTTGATTTCGTCCTTCGGGAATTGATTGGATCATTGGAAATTGGGGCGTTGCTAACAAAATGGAGGTAGATTTGAATGCCAGTTTGCAATTAGTTGTGGGGGGGTTTCTCTCCACTGGATTCACCGCTGACACCCTAGCATGAAGACATTTTTTATTTATTGAGGAAGACGACGACGAGAACGATCAATGGCACAAAACATGCCAAACAGTGGGCTGTGTGAGTGAGTCAGTGAATCACTCAACTGATTCGCTAAAAGCACCGAGTCATTCAAGCGTTTGTTAATGAGATGCTTCGTTCAGTGCAGTTCCGAATCTTGTTTAGATTCAAACATCTTAATTGGCCCCTTCAGTCAAGGGCGTATTTCTTCAGTAAGATCCAACCAATGAAATGCTGACTTGAATGCCTCTTGGTTTTTATACAGCCATGTTGCATCCCAATGTGTCTACTTATAAAGTACACCTCTAAATTATGTACTCTTTTGGTGAAGAAAAAGTACATACTTTTGAGTGTGTTAGTAGAAGAGTAGGCAAGCTTTGGGACATTTAAAGTCAGCATGAAACGGAAGTAGCCATTGTCTTTGTCTTTACTGTGACGTCTATCCGAGTGAAACGGCATCTGAAATAAGAGGGCGGGACTTGATTTCGTCCTTCGGGAATTGATTGGATCATTGGAAATTGGGGCGTTGCTAACAAAATGGAGGTAGATTTGAATGCCAGTTTGCAATTAGTTGTGGGGGGGTTTTTCACCCTAGCATGAAGACATTTTTTATTTATTGAGGAAGACGACGACGAGAACGATCAACGGCACAAAACATGCCTAACAGTGCGCTCGAGAGAGAGAGAGAGAGAGAGAGAGAGAGAGAGGGGGGGAGAGAGAGGGAGACTGAGGGAGAGTCCTTCATCAGGTATTCATAAAAAATAGTTTGCGATGTCCTTAGAGTAATGTTGTGGTAATATCCTAATATCCTTTCAATTTTTAAGGGTAGTGTACTCCCCCATTGCTTGCATCCGTACTGGTCAATGCTTTGATTTCTATAAAGTGAAGCATCAGCTTCAGCTTTTCCCCCTGTTGTTTATCCCAGTGTTTACCCCTCACGTGACGTCACTAGCTCCGCCCTTGCGCCATAGCTCGTGACCGGAAGAGAAGATGTGTCATTTTGAGGAGGGCACATGCAGTATTCCATTAAAAATAAGAATTTTCAATTTTGATTTCATGCCGACTTTCATGGACCACTCTCTCGCATAGTTACACGCACCCTATCACTGTTAACTGGCCAGTCAATCATCTTTTCACAGTTAACATCCTCTGCATTTAATTTAATTTAACTTCCTACCGTATTGAAGAGAAAAGAAGTAGCACGTTGATCTGCCAGCTGTGAGTCGTTCGAGAACTCATATTTTGCATAATGATGCATTTAAAAGTTAATGGCCAAACTGATGTTTATAAAAGTTCACATTGTTGTTGTTGCAGATGAAATATAACACAGATAACATGAAATAAATATTTTATCAGGGTAAATGTTGATTGTTAGTAACTCGAATCCCTTTATCTAAACCAGGGGTGCCCAAACTCGGTCCTGGAGGGCGGTGTCCTGCAAAGTTTAGCTCCAACCCCAATTAGACACAACTGAACCAGCTAATCAAGCTCTTACTATGCATACTAAAAACTTCCCACCAGGTGTGTTTAGGCAAGTTAGAGCTAAACTCTGCAGGACACCGAGTTTGGGCACCCCTGATCTAAACCGTCTCGCGCACATCCGCCATGCGCGGAGGATTTTTGTTAACGCTTTTTATTCTTTGTTTGTAGTTCTGCAATCGGTCACTATATTGAATCCTTCGCCAAAGCGCAATGGATTGCACGGATCCACACACCGAAAAAAAAATAAAAAATCTACCCGAAATAGTAGACCATCCAGGGACTTTTGGCATACTCTTTTCAACATACAATGCTTTGGGACATACTTATTTTAATCTCACAACTATTTAGGTTGGATAGTATGAACATTGGGACGCATGGCCAATCTTTGAAGCGAGAGAAAGTGAGCGTGTGGAAGTTAAGGAGAATGATTCACGAACAAAACATCATAAGAGGTTTTCGCCAGTCGAATTGAATACCTGAGCACTGAGCATGAATGAAAATTAATTGTACTCTTAAATAAATTCTTTAAGAAAAAGACAATCCCTTGAAACTTGTGCGTTATGTTGTAGCCATATTATCCATATGTTAATACAGAAGTCTTTTTCAAAACTTTTATTAATAATTTCACATTACATTCTTCTACAAACTTTAATCTCATGGATTATAAACCAGTTTTAAGTGTAGCCAGACACTGTATATTTTTGATCAAAAAACAAAAAGATTACATAATTTTTTGTGTGTAATATTTAAAAGAAAAAATACTGCAGGTTACAACATATAGTCATCTGACTGATTTGACAGTTTTCTATTTGAACTTGTCTGCTAAAATTATAAAAATGAAGAACAGTTGGAGAAAGAAATATACTTTATAATGAAATCTTTCAGATCATTCAGTTTCATGACTGCGTTTGTCAAAATGAGGGTTTGTCTAAGTCATCTGATCCCTCAGAAACCCACAGCTGTGATTTACCCTTTATATGTGTGTGTGTTTGTGTGTATTTTTCTAATTAGTGCTGCTATTCCTCTCTGGTGTGATATGCTATTTATGAGAGAAACATTTGAAGATTAGCAACATAAATTATTCATCAAACAGCTTATTAAATAAGTACTGTATGGCAGCTGAAATTCTTTACAGGATGTCATACATGTATATAGAGTGTAACATTAGTTTAGCCACTTCCACTCCTAGCTGTCACGGTGAAGACAAATCCAGCAAATGTGCAGTCTGGCAGTCTTGAAGTTTTAAAACAAACCTTCACACAGAGAATCAAAATGAAGACCACTCAGTATAGCTAGAGAAGTTCAGAAGTATAGGAAAAATTGAGCTCATATTGTACATTCATTCCTGACATAAATCACGGGCCATTGTTTGTAGTTTCTAATGCAAAATCAGCTGACGTTTCTGTATGAAGTTGTTTTGAAAGACTTGCAGATTTCATTTGAAATGGTTACATGTGGTGTTACCATCAAGTGCCGATACCGATATGGTGGCCGATATATCGTGCATCCCTATAAAAAATTATATATTTTCTTTACACTGTACATACACGCGAGTATAAACTACTTGATCATTATTTAAAAAAAAAAAAAAGTATAATAAAAAACTAAAATTTCAATATATTTTAAAGGTAAAGTTTTTTTTTTTAGAAATAATGTTAATTCTGTTAATTATGTCTAACTACACTGAAAACATTGGTGTAAAAACTATTTTAATTTGGAAATTACTAGTAAATTTCACAAACAATTACAAAAAACTTACAAATGGCAAGTAACAAATTGAATTAAACTAACAAATATATATGAAATAGTATTTTGTTGTAAAATATACTCTTTTAATATATAATTTAAAATATAATCTTTACTTACAACTTTGAAAAATATATTTTTTTATTTAAGGTTTTCTTTTCAAGAAATTAGTTTACTTCAACATGATATCAGGACAGTTGTATCACATTTTTGTATAATATTTTTGACTTTGTTTATGACTTGCATGGCTCGTGAATTCTCAAAAGTCAGTAAAAAAGTGATCAATACTTCATAAAAATGAATATTTAGTATAAAAATAAGTAAATAACTGGAATTGGCTGGTGTGTGAGTGGTGTTTAAGGTGTCACGCACCTGTACAGAGTTTAGGTGGCAGTATCCGTTTAGAGGGAAGCGAATGACGTGAGTGGAATCATGGTTCCAGCCTGCGTTGACGGAGTTGCACATGACGTCTCCTATCTCTGGGAAGATGTCCTCGATGAGGGCTTTATCACCGCTGAGTGTTATCCTCTCTCCCAGCTCGGGGGCCACGCGCACTACCACACACTCACACATGCGTGATGTGTACCTAGAGTCCTGCTCCGAACGCCAGCGCTCCAGCTCAGCCTGCAGAGGCTGCAGCTGGAAATATCGGGCCTCCTCGTACAGCAGAGAGTAGTCCTACACACACAGATAGATGGCACAACTGATACTTAAGGAACGATTCACCTAGAAATGAAAAATCAGTCTTTGTTTATGGCTGTCTTTTTATTTTGTTTTTGGACAGCCCTTGGTCACTATATAAACTGTTGTATGGCAAGAAATGTGTAGTGATTCTTCAAAGTACTTTTACTTCTGTGTTTCATGAAAAAAAAACAGCATATGGACAGAATGTTAATTTTGGGGCGAACTATTCTTTTATTAAAAAAAAGCCTATAATAATGCAGTATAAGATTTTAATTCCTACCTTAAAGTCATCTGGAATGAGCAGTTTTGAGGTCCTGAGGAAGTTTAAAATGTAGCGGAACATGTGTCCATCGCGATCTATAAAATAATGTTGCTTCAGGCTGTCCAATACAATGGGCTCTGTGCCATCAAACAAACGACCAATCCTGTGAGAGGAACAGACAGATGTTAAAATATTTAGATGTAATCGAACAACAACAACGATTAGCTTTCTTATGCAAGGTTTCTCTCTCTCTCTCACACACACACACTGGTATTCCTATTATTATGGGGGCATTCCATGGGGACACATTAATGGTTTTTATACTGTACAAACTGTATTTTCTATCCCCTTACCCTAAACCTACCCCTCACACAAAACTTTCTGTATTTTTAGATTTAAAAAAATTCATTCTCAATAATTTATAAGCTTTTTTCCTCATAGAGGACCAAAAAATGTCCCCACAAGGTCAACATTTACTGGTATTACTATCCTTGTTGATCCCCATAATGTAGGGAATACCAGGTACACACACACACACACACACAATTGATTACAAATATAGTTTATTTTTTCAGTTCAAAAATTTGGAGTCAAAGCTTGGAGTTCAAAAGCTTTTTTAATGTTTTTGGTGCTCAAGAAACATTGTTATTAATTTTTTTAAAGTTTAAAGGGTTAGTTCACCCAAAAATTAAAATACTGTCATTAATTACTCACCCTCGTGTTGTTCGAAATCCGTAAGACCTTCGTTCATCTTCGTGAAAACAATTTAGGATATTTTTGATGAAATCTGAGGGCTCTCTGACCCTCCCGTAGACAGCAAGGGAACTACCATGTTCAAGGTCCAGAAAAGTACCAAGATGATCGACAAAGTAGTCCGTGTGACATCAGTGGTTCAACTGTAAAGTTACGAGATGTAATTACGCCGGATCTGGGTCAGCGCCGCCACAAGCTCGCGTCATGATACTGTCGTGAACACGCGTCCAAAGTGACGCAGTAGAGACGAAAATGCGGAAAAAAGTTTTCTTTGCGCAAAAAAGTATTCTCGTAGCTTCGTAACTTTACAGTTGAACCACTGATGTCACACGGACTACTTTGTCGATCATCTTGGTACTTTTCTGGACCTTGAACGTGGTAGCTACCTTGCTGTCTATGGGAGGGTCAGAGAGCCTCCAGATTTCAACAAAAATATCTTAAATTGTGTTCCGAAGATGAACGAAGGTCTAACGGGTTTGAAACAACACGAGGGTGAGTAATTAATGACAGAATTTTCATTTCTGGGTGAACTAACCCTTTAATATTTTTAATGTTAGCTTAATATTTCTGTGAGTTTCAGGATGTTTTATGAAGAAAGTTCAAAAGAACACCATTTATTTTAAATCGACATATATTGATATAACTGATATTATATAAATTTACATGATTTTTTTCCTTTAATCTTTGGTATTTTCATACTTTCTTATTTGTTAGTCCTTTTTTATTTCCCCATGTTTTTCCCACATTTCTAATTATGATGTATATACAATAAAAAGTAACTATAATTAAGGCTAATTCAAAGTTCATTCTCACATACAATCAGTCTGACAGCAGTTTCATGTGCTTCTCGACAGAGCAAGTTTTAAGATAAACTGCTCTAACCCAAATTCCACAATATACTTCTATACAAATGTTGTCATGTGAAATTAATACATAGCGATCCTTTCCATATGTGTTGTAAAAGGCCAGTTAATGGACTATTGTCTCTTAACTACAATAACAATGGTATTACCAATGTACTGTTTATTGCTTACGCTTAAAGAGACGTCAGTTTGCGGAAAATAAATGATCAAAACAATCTGAGGGAAAATTGTGACTAGGTGTTATAATCCCTGAATATTGGGATTATATTTTGAAAACTGCATGGAGGTTCTGATTTGATGGAAGTTTGAGAACCACTGTGCTAAAATATTCATTAAAACAATCTGAGTGTGCTCATGTAAATACATGAGCAGAGTTTGACAGTTCTTTCGGTCAGCACAGTCTGCCTGAACTGTAGCCTGCATCTGCATCAGCATCACAGAGGGCAAGGCTGGAGGCAGCAACCATCATTGCTCCTGACGACGCAAATGTCATCATCCAGCGCCCTGCTTCCTGGCTCTATGATGAGTGCATTGTCATATTGATGTTGCTTGTGATCAAGTAGCCAAGGGGAGAATGGATCACAAGTGTCACTGATGCCAATGCTCTCAGAAATATCTATTTGACAATTACAAAGGCTTTCCAAGGCCTATACTAGATTATACCAGATCCGTTTGATTCTCTATGAGACAATATGTGTGAGACTCAGTATTTCTATGCCACTGTAAGGGACAGTGGGAGGCGGAAACTGTGTGAGACATGTGAGCAGTTGTGAAACAGGGTGCTAGTCTGGCTCAAAGCGCTTCAGGCTCCTTTTGGCCTGTGCTCTGATGTTTGACTCAGTCAGCAGCTACAAGACAATAATGCTCTTTGGCATTGCAGAAACATACCGGTCAATGAGCTAATGAGCACAGACAAGCCACACATACACACAAAACACACACATATGGAGCAAACACACATCATAACGGACTTGTGTGTGAACAGACAAATGCACAAATCCGTGTGCATCAGTGTCTGTATTGTGTGTTTTAGGTGCAAAACTTTAATGTAGGAGACTTATCCAAGACATAGGCTAATCAATATTTGTCAGTTGTATGCTTTTCAACATGCTGGATCACAGAATGAAACAACTCATTAACTTAATTAAAGGCAATTATCAGCAATATGCTTTATTTGAATGTTTCTTCGTGTCTTACCATGACATTGAGCTGTTTGAAATAAGTTAATTCTCTATTCGCAACACCTCAGAATCGATTCTTTTTTAAATCAATTCCGAGCCCTATCTATTACACTATGGTGTCCATTTCTATAAGGTTTGGTGTCTGTGTGAAATTTACCTGGACTCTGGGTATTTGGTTAATGTGGCCAGGCTGCTGGTATACATGTGACCCCCTACATCAATGTGGACCGGTGCGTTGGACTTCGTGAGCTGTGCAGGTGTGGGGATGCCAGCTGTACTCAGCGGGGAGACCGGCGAATGTGCCAAGATCGGCCGAGTCGACATGCCCACACTGTTGCTGCGATTCTCCTGAGAAAAAAAAGATGATAGGTAAGATTTCAAGATTAACATTCATATTAAGAAGTTAAATGAGTCAACATGAAATTGAAACCCATTTTACTTTGTTGAAACAAACCGTGGGAGTTTATTTTATCATGAAAAGTGGATATTGACACCAGAACAGATGCATTGAGAATATAGATATACTGCCTAGGAAAATAGCATATAACAAGTTGTATGAACTTTTTGATATTTTCATTGAGATTGAATTTATCCATCAAGATTTGATTGGATCATGAAAAGTGGGCATTGAATAGACTAGAATGGAATGAGGTGGTTGGAAGGGAAGGGCTGAACAAGTAAACGGCATTTGTGACATCAGCAGAAAAGAAATGTCACAGGCCCATGGTCGAAAGTTTATGGCCTTCGATGACCTTTGATTTGGCCTGTCGTGTTAAAAATTTAATTAAAATATTTAACCAGACAGTTGGGTTAGTCCATATTTGATCCAAAGTTGGGTTGAAACCACCCAGCATTTTTTTTAGAGTGAATATATATGTGACCACCCTGCATTTTGGGTCACAAGAATATTAAATTATTTGCTATATTTTGTTTTGGATCTATGTATGTTTATTTCTATTTACATGTGTATATATAAGTTTAATTTAAATTACTTTAATGTGTTATAATGAGTTTGCATTGAACAGGCCTGCATTTTCCAAATTCTGGAAAAGTGTGACGCATTCTCAGAGAGGACTGCTTGGGCAACCACTAACTCGTCTCTCTCTGTCATTTACTGTTAAGCTTAGTTATTTTTATTAATTTTCATGTCAAACTATAATGTACATGCTTTAATGTTCAAGTAATTTGTTCAATTGATCATTTGTGTTATTAGTAATTTTAAGATACTTGTGTCATAGAGAAGTGCATTAATGTATCATTTATCTGAGTTGTTTGTGTATTACTTCTATTACTTACAGTACCTGAAATACTTACCTGTGTTGTTAATCTGAGATATTTATGAGTAAAGTCCTTTCTGTACATGTGGTTATTTATTTATTTGCTTACTGTGATTTAAGTATCTATATGTATTATTTGTTTCAACGTGTTTATGACAACTGTGATTCAAAGTTTCTTAATTAATCTGAAATACAATGCTTATTAAAGACAACAAAGAGGACTGCTTGGGCAACCACTAACTCTTGACTCTCTCTCTCTCTCTCATTACTGTTTGAGGCAAAGGGGGCTATAGAAGTGTTCAGGAAACCTGCAAATCTCTTTGTTTCCCAGGAAGTACTACATATATGTTTTTTTTATTTTTGCATTGAAATGTAGAGAATATAACACATCTGAATTTTTTTAAATTGTTTTAATAATATAATTGGATATAATGCAACATTTACGTTCAGACCTTCGTAGCAAACGTTTGGGCACCACTGGTTTAAATTTTACAAATGCAATTTTTTCCCCCCTTTGGAATATTATGTTATGTCAATATTACATAAACAGGTGTCAATTTTGATTTAATTTTGACTTGACCAAACAGATTTGCAGGTTTCCTGAACACTTCTATAGTCCCATTTGCCTCAAACTCCCATCATACATTGTCCTGTGTTTTTGGGAATCAACTTTTAAATGGCTCACTTATAGCCCTCTCTGCACACTAAACTAGAATGGGAAAGTATTTGAACAGAAACAACTGAAGCAGCCTCTTCATTTGGTTAACATGTCATGAGTGGAATGGGGAGCACAGTGCTAAATGCTTTACAACATAAACACAGATAATTATTTCTACCTTGACAACTACATTTGCAACATAAGTGGAAATAATTAAATTGACCTGTTACGATATTAATAGTGATTTGGCTGTCAGCACTACACAACATTACAGCAGCACCACTCTCATTAGCATCAGTAGGGGCTCGTTCAATGGGCTTCGTCTGACATAACATCTGCTTGTGCTGGGAAATAACTGTTTGCTAAATCTCAATGGTCACTCTCTACTGAGGTGCAATGAAACAGCCATGGGCAGAGTTTCCTTTAAAGATGAAAAACAGAAAAAAGTTAACTGTAACATAAGTATACTTGTGTACTTAGCGCACTATCAATGCATTTTTTGCCCAGAGCGGAGTAACAATATCTGAGTCGACTGTCTTACAGAATGAAACTTGCTGAGAGAATGAGTTCAGCGGACTGGCTTATACAGCGACCTGAAAAACAAGCATTAACCCTTGGTAATACACAGAACATGTGCAAATAAACATGTACCCAGGCAAGCACATTAAAGCATTAATGATAAACATCCCTGGCACAACTGGGTGTTTTAGCGGCTGCAGGTTTCTAATGGTGGCTGAATGGGGCGTTATGCCTATGGGAAGACTAACTTAGGTCAAAAATACTTTTTCTTATGCATAATAAAAAAAAAAAAAGTATTTTATTTTCTCGCTAAGTGTAGACAATGAGAAAATGAGAGCATGGGGTGGAAAATGACAAAATAAAAGTTTGTGGGTAATATATTTTTATAATTTTTTTTATTGATTTTGAAAGTGACAGTAAAGACATTTATAAGTTCCTTTGTAACTTTTTATTCATAGAATCCTGAAAAAATAATTGTATCACCGTTTCCACAAAAATATTAAGCAGCTGCAGCACAATGGTTTTCAACACTGACAATAATAAATGTTTCATTGATTATAATGTTTCTTGAGCAGCAAATCAACATATTAGAATGATTTCTGAAGGATCATGTGACACTGAAGACTGGCGTAATGATGCTGAAAATTCAATTACAGGAATACATTACATACATTTTAAAATATATTAAAACAAATAAATAAATACAAAATAATTTTAAATATTTCACTATATATATATATATAATTTTTTTTTTAATGCAGCCTTGGTGAGCATAACAGTCTTTTGATTGGTAGTGTACCTATAAATGCAAAACATGTAAAACGATGGATCTAAAGGACACAATGGATCCATGAGGTAAAAAGTCTCTCAAAGTTTCAAAGTCTCTGACTCGGAGACTTTACTGTTAATGCATCTCACCCACATCTCAGCATGTACAGCAACCGAGGAAGATATGAATGCAGAGCATAGACTCACTTTACATCTGTTAATTAGCAAGGAGGGGGCAGGATATAATTGGATGTGAATGTGAAATTATGAAGTGTCATAATTGACAAGGCCTTTCAGTTCTTTTCTAGGATGTTTTCCAGGACTCTCTCCCCTGGGGTCGCTAATAAATACTTACCCCCCAAACTTTTTTTTAAGACAAATACATGCTGTGCTTTTAAAGCATGGCAACTACAAACAAATACTTCAACATTAACATTCATTACGACAATATAGCCGTGGTTGCATTTTAAAAAAAGGACAGGTATAAACTCTTCAGGATTAATATTTTAGTGTGGTACAGGTACTGTAGAGCACTGTTTAATTAATATAGTGTCATGCAGCTGAAGACCACACTAAACAGCTCATCTCAGGCATTATATTTAGGAGTCATTGGTTTTTGCTGGAGCCCAGCACAGGTGCAATATTAGCTCATTCCTCCGCAGGCAACGAATGCTTTTATTTTTCACACTCACCTTCATGCTGAAGGGTGAAGAAATCTGTGCCTGTTTTAGTACAGCCTACTTACAAAGCATAATAATATTCACCAACATATGAAGAAATATGTCACATATAATGTGACAATCACATCTTAATCACATTAAGATGACATCCCCAAATGGACCACCACTGGCAATTTGTGCTGCTGCCCCTCGGCAAAGATGGAGATGATTGACTTGTTTATAAAGATGAGGAGTTAGTTAGAAAAAAGTACAAATATAATAAAGGTGTATTAATCTAAGTCTAAAAGCAGTCCTTAAAAACACATATAAAATAAATAACAACAAAAATGAACACGAAAACGTACAATGCATTTGGTTTGTGCATTAATGGGGACCAAGTGGCACAATTCAAAGTTAAGTTTCAGCCTGAAATAGCACTCTTTCACAAGATAACACCATCATAACAAAACTGACTCATTATAATGAAGAGGTAAAGCAGGGATTTGCTGACAAATGTTCCATGCAAAATGACACACACACACACACACACACACACACACAGATGAGTAAAATTTGACATCCCACGTTGGTTTAAATCATTAATTTGCATAAATATACTCGGTGTGAAAACCCAATTGTCCTCTGACTTGTGTGATTGACAGACAGCAGGCCGCTTGGAAAACTAATCTGAAGCGCTGTTCTAAGCACGTGTCACGTGTCAAAAACGTTTCGTCTTTATACCGACGTGCTAAAGACATGAAATCGCTATTACCTGTGAGGGGAGCATACGAGGACTCTCTCCGTTGGCTTCGCAATGAGAGGAGACTAGCGCGGTGACAGTCGGAGTGTCCGCGCACTCCACGGCGGTGCGCGCGCAGAGTCTTTTCGGCGATGCCCCCGGCCCCAAATCGCTTAGCGGATAGACGAGGGTCCGAGGGCGTTTGATCACCTTCTGCGGTTTGAGCTCGGCCTCGTCCTCGCAGTGCAGCACGTGCTGCAGGTGCGCTCCTCCGTTGGCCGTTTCCGGGGAGACGTGGAGAGGCGCTAACTTTGACCCGATGCCCGCAATGCCGTTGAGCGTTGCTATGGAGACGGCGCCGATGCAGTGGTTGGTGTAAGTCTTTGACAGTTTGGCGGCCCGCGACAGCATCTGCATTCTCGTGCCCAGCAGGTTCTTGCCGATGGCTTTATTCTCGTACCACGTCGTGTCGGTCTCGCTGCAGTGATCCCGCGGGCGCTGGAAGAAAGCCTTGCAGAGAGGATTGCGCTTTGAGAGGTACTTTACGAAGCTCGCGTAGGGACAAAACTCCGTGGCGGTTTCGTACATGCGGGGAAGGTTGTCATCGTCCGTGTCCGATCTTTTTTTCGTCCAGGAGGCGGAACGAGACTTGTGGTAGGGCCCGAGCGCTTTGAAATACACAAACTTGCATCCGTCCTCGTCCACGGCTAGCCCGAAAGAGTCCTCCTCGAGCTCGCGCTGGTTCTCCCGCCCCCTCGTGCAGAAGTACATGCAAGTCTCGAACCACACTTTGTTGAGCAGTCCGAACGGCGAGCTGGCGCTGAACACGGCCGAAGTGTAGAGTTTTCTCAGGTCGGAGCGCGTGATGGCTTGCTTCTGCACCACGGGGCCGGCGCCCTGCTCCTCCAGCTTGCGTATGACCGCGGCGAGCGCGAGGTTGGCGCTGCGCAGCTCGGGGTCCTTGGTGAGGTCCAGCGTGCGGCAAAAGGGGGGCTCGTTCAGGTAGCGGTTGAGCGAGCTCCGGATGCTGATGAGGGAGGACTTGCTGTACAGCTGTCCGCTTTTGGAGCGCGCCTCGGAGTAGAACGAGCGCAGCACTTTGCAGAGCGCGTGTTTGTCCATGCTCTCAAAGTCCGTACTTTGCGCCTTCTCCGTCAGGTATTCCCGGAAGATTCGCACCGCGTACCGGGTGGCCAGGCGCGTGTTCTCGCTGAGCCTGGAGCGGTGCATGTCTCCCTCGGGTCCCGAGTCCAAAGCGGCGAAAACCGGGTCCCCCGCCGCCGCCGACTCGAGCTGGTCCGTATTCCGCATAAGGACCGCTTCCCCCGTTTCCACGGCAGCAGCGCAGCTGTCGGGCTCCCCGCACACCTCCCACTCTAACTCGGCTTCTTCTTCTGACACTTCTCCCTCTTCCCCTGTGATCTGGATCTCCTGAATCTCTTCCTCCTCTTCCTCGCCCGAGCCTCCGTCTCTCTCCCGTTCCCCCGCCATCGGGTCCGGTTCATCATCTTTACAGCAGTGGTCCCCGCTGCCAGGCATTCTCGCCATATTGCAGTCTGACAGTGTATGAGTCCCGAGGCACTGCGCATGCGCTATATTGGACCGCAGCGCTGAGAGCTTTTTGTGCGTTTTAGTGACCTTCAGCTACGAAAACAGGCACGCGCTCTTAAAGGTGCAGGGAAAGGGGAGCTAGATTGCCAAAATTAAAACACACACACACACACACTTTCACACTTGAATGGAGAGATAAAGCGAGAGAAAGAGGCAAACGGTCAGCTATACTCTGTATTGGACTGCAGCAGAATTAAGCACTAAATTATGCCTTTATTACATCCACACAGACACACACCTGCTAATTATTAAAAGGCTATGCAGCTCAGGCAGGCTGACTTGATTTGGGAGTTTCCAGTAGCAGCTGTGATGGTGTCTAACCCTGAGGCCACATCCATATACTTTCGAGTGTGTATACAGCCTTTTGAGAGGAAAAGAGAATGTGACAGATGGGAGGGAGAGAGAGAGAGAGAGATGGTGTGGTGAGCTAATTGATATTTCTGTGCATGGTAAGAATAATTTCGACAGAATAAAGTACACACCGTGGGTTTGTGTGTGCAATGATGGCCAGCAGGCAGAAAAACACTCTAAAAGGCGAAAAAACACAAAAGGAACAGTTCACAAATAAATAAATAGTCATTACTTTCGCACTCCAAAATATAAAAAATATTTTTCAAAGTTGTAAGTAAAGATTGTTAGAGTAATTTTTTTTTTACAAGAAAATATTATTTAAGTTTTTCTACTTAAGGATTTCATGTGTAATGCAATGTGTTACTTGGCATTTCTTTATGTTGTTTGTGAAATTTACTAGCAATTTCTGAGTGAAAATGTTCTCTACACTTAATTTTTTTTTTACAGTGTACCTCAAAGAATATCCTGCCCACTTTTTGATGTTTAATGAAAGAGAATGAGTACTGGGGCTGTCAAGCTACAAATAAAGCAACATAAAAGTATCAAAAACATGTTCATACACATGTTTAAGTCTTTTGAAGTCATAAAATACCTTTGCAAGTGAAAAAATCCAAGTTGTTATTTACCAAAAATCTTGAGAGCCATTCTAGCTCTCATTGGCACATTCATGAGAGGATGAATAATTTCTATCTTTTGAGTTGACTCATTTCGATAAACCAGCTGATCCAGTTTACAGAATGGACTGATTCAGTTCTGGTTCAGATCAACTCACTGAATCACTGACTGAAGTTACCAGCTCACTGACTGGAAGATTATCAGTGAACAACACCTTAAATTTGTTTATTTGTCACATAAGGCTATTGTATGGCTTCATAAGACTTGCAATATAGGACCTGAGTCACATGGACCATTTTAAGATAATTTTATGGTGCTTTTGCATCTTTTTTTAAGCTACAAAGCTCCAATCCCCATTCATTGTCATTGCATGGAAAAGAGTAAATGTTTTTCTCAAAATGCTGTCTTTTGTTCCACAAAATTAAGAAAGGCATTAAGGTGAATAAATGCTGAATCGCCCCAGTTTTTCATATTACTTGCTGTTTATGATGTGCCAGTGTGGCTGGTCTGTATTTAACTTCTACTGTTCTGATATGCATTTATGTGCTGTGATTTGCAAATGCAGCTCTGCTGGAGCTCACTGCAGACTTTCTCAGGTTAGAGCAGATTTTCATTTTCCTCTCTTATGCTCCTCCGTGTAGCAATAGAGGCTATTGTAATGTAAACAGAGCCCCTCTGAACTGCATCATGGCATGGATATTTTCATGTGTGAATGATTCTAGAGTACTCAGTATAAAATTGCTTTTGGCCCTGTTAATAAAGACCCATGCGCCATCTCTAAATCTATACGGCAAAATATGGCATTTGATTCATTATATTCATCCATTAATACAAGATCATCCTATATGAGTGACCTTGATCAAGAACACATTCCTAAGTGCTTCTACATTCACGCCTCTCTCCTCTCCCCTGTGTTTGTGTGTGTGTCGTGAGAACCCTGAGGCAACTGCTGTCTCAGTATGAACAGCACAGAGCTGAGGTTTGGCTCTGGAGAATAAGGCAGATGTTTGTCTCCGGCGCTGTGCCTCAGAGAGAGGCAACGCATGAGGAAACGGATTTTAGAGCTCAGTAGGGCTCAAAGCTAGAGGAGGGATGAAAAAAGCTCTATTCATCCATCAGCAAATCAACAGTGAGCATCTGATTCATTAACATTATATACAGTCAGTCTTTCCACAGTCTTGTGAACATTTCTTTAAGGAAAAGATATGAGTAGATGGCAAGTAAGAGTGTCTGTGATGGTTTTGAAAAATGTGATCTGGATCTCCTGAATCTCTTCCTCCTCTTCCTCGCCCGAGCCTCCGTCTCTCTCCCGTTCCCCCGCCATCGGGTCCGGTTCATCATCTTTACAGCAGTGGTCCCCGCTGCCAGGCATTCTCGCCATATTGCAGTCTGACAGTGTATGAGTCCCGAGGCACTGCGCATGCGCTATATTGGACCGCAGAGCTGAGAGCTTTTGGTGCGTTTTTAGTGACCTTCAGCTACGAGAACAGGCACGCGCTCTTAAAGGTGCAGAGAAAGGGGAGCTAGATTGCCCAAAATGAACACACACACACACACACACTTCTGGTTTGCTATCCTTGTGGGGACTCTCCATAGGTGTAATGGTTTTTCTACTGTACAGAACGTATATTCTATCACCCTACACCTAAACCTACCCCTTACAGAAAACTTTCTGCATTTTTAGATTTTCAAAAAACGTCATTCTGTGTGATTTATTAGCTTGTTTACCCGACCGTGACACGAGTCCCCATGAGTCTGTGTGTATTCAGGTTTAAGTCCCCACCAGAATAGAAAAACAGGCACACACACACACACACACACACACACATCAACGGAGAGATAAAGCGAGAGAAAGAGGCAAACGGTCAGCTATACTCTGTATTGGACTGCAGCAGAATTAAGCACTAAATTATGCCTTTAATACACCCACACAGACACACACACCTGCTAATTATTAAAGGGCTATGCAGCTCAGGCAGGCTGACTTGATTTGGGAGTTTCCAGAAGCAGCTGTGATCATGTCTAACCCTGAGGCCATCCATATACTTTCGAGTGTGTGTATACAGCCTTCTGTGTATGTGAGAGAGGAAGAGAGAATGTGACAGATGGGAGGGAGAGAGAGAGAGAGATGAAGGTGTGGTGAGCTAATTGATATTTCTGTGCATGGTAAGAATAATTTCGACAGCATAAAGTGCACAACGTGGGTTTTTGTGTGCAATGATGGAAAGGTGGGCAGGAAAAAAAAACACTCAAAAAGGTGAAAACTCACACAAAAGGAACAGATGACACAAAAATGAGAACTGTGTCATTACTTTCAAACTCTAACCTCGTATTATAATGTAAAAATGATTTTTCAAAGTTGTAAATAAAGATTGTTAGGGTACTTTTTACAAGAAAAAAATATTTCAGTTTTTATACTTGAAGATTTCACATTAAATGTAGTGTTAGCCATTTCTTTTTGTTGTTTGTAAAGTGTACTAGCAATTTCTGACTGAAAATGCAACTTTTTTTTACAGTGTACCTATCTTGCACACTTTTTACAATATAATGAAAGTGAATGAGGACTGGGACTTAAAAAGTGTTCATACACATCTTTAAAGTCGTTTGAAGTCATAAAATAACTTTGCAGGTGAAAAAAAGACTAAATCTAAGTTGCCAAAATCTTGAGATCCATTTTAGCTCTCATTGGCACATTTATGAGTCGACTCATTTCAATAAACCAGTTGAACCAGTTTACAAAATGGACTGACTGGAAGATTATTAGTGGAAAACAACTTAAATTTGACTATTTATCCCATAAGGCTATTGTGCGGCTTCATAAGACCTGCAATATAGGACTTAAGTCATATGGACCATTTTATGATAATTTTATGGTGATTTTGCATCTATTTTGAAGCTTCAAAACTCATTGTCATTGCATGGAAAAGAGTGAATATCTCAAAAGGCTGCCTTTTGTGTTAGGCATTAGTGGACTGGTGGACTCACCCTCAGTTTTTCATATTACTTGCTATTTATGACGTGCCACTGTAACTGGACTGTATTTAACTTATGCTGTTCTGATATGTATTTATGTGCTGTGATTTGCAAATGCAGCTCAACTGGAGCTCACTGCAAACTTTCTCAGGTTAGAGCAGATTTTCATTTTCCTCTCTTATGCTCCTCCGTGTAGCAATAGAGGCTATTGTAATGTAAACAGAGCCCCTCTGAACTGCATCATGGCATGGATATTTTCATGTGTGAATGATTCTAGAGTACTCAGTATAAAATTGCTTTTGGCCCTGTTAATAAAGACCCATGCGCCATCTCTAAATCTATACGGCAAAATATGGCATTTGATTCATTATATTCATCCATTAATACAAGATCATCCTATATGAGTGACCTTGATCAAGAACACATTCCTAAGTGCTTCTACATTCACGCCTCTCTCCTCTCCCCTGTGTTTGTGTGTGTGTCGTGAGAACCCTGAGGCAACTGCTGTCTCAGTATGCACAGCACAGAGCTGAGGTTTGGCTCTGGAGAATAAGGCAGATGTTTGTCTCCGGCGCTGTGCCTCAGAGAGAGGCAACGCATGAGGAAACGGATTTTAGAGCTCAGTAGGGCTCAAAGCTAGAGGAGGGATGAAAAAAGCTCTATTCATCCATCAGCAAATCAACAGTGAGCATCTGATTCATTAACATTATATACAGTCAGTCTTTCCACAGTCTTGTGAACATTTCTTTAAGGAAAAGATATGAGTAGATGGCAAGTAAGAGTGTCTGTGATGGTTTTGAAAAATGTTTACAGTATTTTCAAGAAAAGTTTAAATAATGAGTCTAATATGTCATGTGGCATAACCAAGTAAAAAAAAAATTATAGTAAAATAATATTTTGAATACATAATTTATCACTGAATAAATAATTTACAGAAAAGTTTTAAAAATATTTTTAAATAAAAAAATTATACATATATATATATATAATATATAATGTATAATTTTATACATAATAAATTATACATATCATGACAGT